GTAATCCATGCCCCAAGTGGATCCATTGAGAATTTATGGGAACTTCAATTGATGCAGAACTTTTGAGGTCTTCATCTACTACTTCATACTCCTCAAGTGCCCTACTCATGAAATGGCCGTATTGGTGTTGGCACACAATGTTGATTGCTAGTGAAATCTTGCGGTGGTAATTGGCCCCTCTATCATGTGTTGGAGATTGGTGTTAGATTGATGGAGCTCATCAACCTTAACGTGAAGTGTGACTTCATGGGAGTTTGCTGTTTGGGCGTGGTAAGTATTTTGGCCCCAATTATATCTGATTGTTCCCATCTGATGCCTTGTAGGAAGAACTTTTAGGGCCAAAGTGATGATAAAAAATTTGGAATGTACACTGACTAAATAAAAGAGTTTATAAAATTTTGTGGACTATCTCACCCATAAGGGTCCCACCGATCAAAAAGAGGAGAGAAGTTAGTCACTCTCAAGAAGAGCGTAAGCTTTTAAGGACAAGATCAAGAAAAAACTAGCTTATTAAATACAACGACAAGTGCAAGGGCCGCTGCACGGCACCCGGATGCAGTGTTAAATAGGCAAGGGTTCCCACATCATGGATGGATGTGGCCAAAGAAGCTAGTCCATGAAACTAAAATTAGGATAGGAACTTGGAATATAGGTTCCCTTACAGGCAAATTAATGAAATTAATAGATATTATGATTTATAGGAAGATAAATATTCTATGCATTCAGGAAACTAAATGAGTTGAAGAGAAGGCTAAGAAGATTAAAAGTTTAGGATTTAAACTATGATATTCAAGTAATAGTCATACTAAAAATGGTGTATGTGTGATTATAGATAAGAGTTTCGAGGATAATATTGTAAAAATAATATAATTGAAGATAGAATTATAATTTTAAAGATTATTATTGATGTTAAGATTATTAATATTAAAAGTGTTTATGCCCCTCAAGTAGGTTTAGATATATGCTCAAAATTAAAATTTTTGAATGATCTAGAAGAATTAATACAAAAATATTTCTTAAAGAAAGAGTTTTTATTGGACGATATTTAAATGGACATGTTGGTAGAGAGGTAGATAATTTTAAAAGTATTCATGGTGACTATGGCTTTAGAGTGACTAATGAAGGTGGTAAGACCATGTTAAATTTTCTTTAGCTTATGATTTTGTAATTGCTAATACCTTATTTAAGAAAAGAAATGAACATCTCATCACTTATAATGGATGTAATAAAACTCAGATTGATTATTTTCTTATAAAAAAATAGACCGTTTAGATTACCAAGATTATAAAGTTATTCCAAATGAAAGTTTATGTATCTAACATCGTCTATTAGTTTTGAACTTTAAGATGAATGATAAATCATAATTATAGGATTAGATGGGGGTATTTATAGAATATAGAGTAGGATTCTAGATCTGAAAATTTTATCTGTGCATGAGGAAGCTAATGTTATATGGGAAAAAGTAGCTAGTAATAGTAATAATGTTGCAAAGATGTACATGGAGTATCAAAGGGAAAAGTTACTAATAATAGTTGGTGGTGAAATCAAAATGTGCAAGAAAAGATAAAAAAATAAAAAAGATTTGTTATAAAAATTAATTTAACTGTAAAAATTTAGATAATTGGGAAAGATATAAAGAGACTCGTAAGGAGTTTAAAAAAGCAATATGCAATGCAAAGATTATAGCTTTTAATGATTTATATAATATATTAGATACTAAGGAGGTTGAAAGATATATGTATAAGTTAGCTAAACTAGTAGTAAGAATTTAGTTCAACTGAAGTGTATTAAGGATGAAGATCAAAAGTGATTTTATTAAAAGAGAATAATCAACAAAGTGGATGAAATATTTTGCTAAACTTTTCAATGAAGATTGTGAAAATGCAATTGGCTTTAGTGACCTTAGCACCCTAAATGAAAATAAAGATTTTTCTTTTTTATCACTGTATTAGTAAAATCAAAGTTAAAGAGGCTTTAAAGAGAATGAAGTGTGGAAAAGTTGTTGGACTTGATATTCCAACAGAGGTGTGGAAATGCTTAGGAGATGAAGGAATTTCTTGTTTTACTAAACTTTTAATATTGTTTTGTAGACTAAAAAGATGCTATATCAGTGGTGAATGAGTGTGTTAATTCATATTTTTAAGAATAAATGTGTCATAATTTAAAACTATGGGAGAGATTTATTGAGCATAGATTGCGGCATGACACTAATGTTTCTCAAAATCAAATTAGATTCATGCCAGGTAGGTCTACTATTGAAGCTATACATTTATTGAGAGATTTGATGGAGAAGTATAGAGAGAATAAGGAGGATCTACATATAATTTTTATTGATTTAGAGAAAGCATATGATAAAATTCCAAGAGAAGTGCTATGGAGTTCTACATAATAAAGGGTTTAATAAAGCTTATATTCAAGTCATTAAGGATATGTATGCATGAGCTATTACTTGTGTTCAAACACAAGGTGGTTTGACCAAGTATTTTTCTATTTCAGTTGGATTACATCAAGGACCAGCCTTATGCTTATATCTTTTTGCTTTAGTAATAGATGTCCTAACTAAACATTTGATAAACGAATGAGCCTAAATTAAGGGCATGAAGCATAGTAAGAAATTTCCGGATTTTAGTTGAATGATCAAATGACGTCTAAATTTTATATGTTTATAATCAAATCAAGTGAAAAGGTTAGAGTAACTCCAGTCATGGTTTAAAATTGCGCAATATGAGGCTCGCCTTGAGGCCCACCTTTGCGCAATTCTAATAAAAAACGCCTCGATGCTTACGCCTCGAGTTTTTTTATGAGGCTTGCGCCTCAACTTGGTTGAGGCCCGCCTTGAGTCCCGTCTCGCCTCACTGGCATGAGGCTTATGCCCCACATTATATATATTAAAACCTACATAAATCTTGAAGTAAATGTCCGACATTGGACTCTATAGGAGAGGAGGAAGGGGAGAGAGCAGTTCACCATAATGATGATTCAAATGAAGAACCCCTTAGTGATGACAGTGCTGATGACTTATGAGTTCTTATTGGAAATCGGAATTATATGTTAATGAAAAGAATACTGGGATTTCGGAAAGATAGAATTTTGAGTTGAACTATATTTCATGTTGTCTTATTATTGAGATATTTTGATTTCACTTCATATCTTATACTTTTTTATGTTTTATATTATTCACTCATTAGTATATAACAAAATTATCATTTTATGTTTACGCAATCTTTTGATTTTGAGGCTTACGCCTCAAAACGCCTTGAGGCTTACGCCTCGCCTCACAAATGAAAAACGCCTTAATACCCGAATACGCAATTTTAAACATTGACTCCAGTGAAAGATAATATTAGATAAAACGAGAGCCTTTCGATGAGCCGGTTATGAAAGTAGATGTATTAAATTTGACTTATTTTAAGAAAGGTAGAGGTAGACCTAAAAAGACTTGATTAAAAAATATTAGAAATAACGTTTCTTTATTAAATTTAGATAAGAATTTGAATCTTAACAGGACACAATGGAGAAAAAGGATTCATGTAGCCGACCCCACATAGTGGATAAAGGCTTCTTCTTCTTGTTGTTGTATAAAAAAAAACTAGCTTCCCCATATCCCATGCCCTACTTAAAATCTCCAAACAAGTACTTCCAATACAAACATTGAGATTTCATGGAGGAATAGGAATAAATTCCCTAATAGTTGCAAGCTTCATTAAATGTAATCAGATCAATTAAGTTTGATTGGACATTGATAATAAAAATAATGTGCACTCCTTCGATAGCTATATATGGGATTGATATTTTTAGCAAAATAGAGACATTAGAATGCACCTTCCTAGAATAAGGAGTTCTAAATCCTAAAGGCAATGGGATTCCTTCATCGTTGACCTTATACACATCATCCACAACCATAGCCCAAATAATGACAATATTTAAAAGTAACAACAATAAAAATTATATATTATACTTAATCCAACACATTTTCTAACATATTAGAACAGTACAAATTAATCAAACCTTACCATTTTTCCATTTATAATATAGGCTTCACCTAGATCAACATGCAAATGACCCAACATTTACATGACAATATCCATGCTAATGAGACTCAAACCCACTCCAGGCCATTAAAACATAATGCAAATGAAGTATAAATTCATAAAAAACATGGTTTTCTTGTTGCAAGGCTTAAAATTGCGCAGTTGGGTATTGAGGCATTTTTTTTTGTGAGGCAAGGCGTATGTCTCAAGGTGTTTTGATTCGTAAGCCTCAAAATTAAAAAATTGAGTGTAGTAAAATATATAGGTTAAAAGTAAATTTTTATATAATACTAAAATTATATATAAAAGGATGACATATTAACTTTCTATTAGCCTATGAAATAACAAATTTGCATACATATGAAACAAAAAATTGCATAGAATGTAAAGTGACAAGTGATAAAATATATAGGTTAAAAGTAAATAATGTAAAGTGATATATTGAGAGAAAGTTGTTGCGATTTCGGATGCATGAAGGCATAATTTGTTCATAACTTTAGTTTAGGACTTAGGCAAGCTTTAATAATAATAATAATAATATAAGAGAGAGAGAGAGACGTACGCCTCATGCCATTGAGGCGAGGCACACCTCAACAAAATTAAGGCGCACGCCTCATAAAAAAAGCTCAAGGCGTAAGCCTTAAGGCATTTTTCACAAGAATTGAGCTGAGGCGGGAGGTGAACCTCATATTATGCAATTTTAAACAACGCCTAGTTAAAAACCCAGATTGCTTTGTGGACGATAATAGAAACATTTAAAAGAGACAATTAGTTGGTGTTTAAGAAATTTAATCTACTGTGTCTAACCAAGGACATCTATTGTCCCAAGAGCTCAAAAGCACCGTCTTCACTAAAAAAAATATAAAAGCTAGTAAGATCTATATCTCAGTTTGACCATACACCTTAAATTTCAAAGATAAAATACATTGCGGAGCAAGGAATTAGCTAACAGAAACTTATGAGTTATACCTCAGGTGGTACTTGAGCCAAATCTTCCATGGTATCAGAAGCAACCAAATTATTAGAGGTTGAGAAAGTATCAAGTCTTATCCTCTTGAACTGCTCTGATTGTTCACTTTTCTCAAACACCAAACTATTAGATTCCTCTTTGCGCTTAATGATCCGTGGTGGAAGACCTTTCAATTCATTGTCTGAGTGCCACCCACTATCTAAAGTAGAAGACTGATCTTCATCATGTGCATCATCGTCAGAGACACTCTGATAAGTTTCCATATTGCTGTATGTCGGACTCATCTTCTTTGTATCTCCTTCATTCAAAGGTAAGGTTATGCTATGTTCTGCTTGTGTGGAAGACTTCATATGAGATGGTGATGATCCAACAACTTTACGTTTAAATTGACGAACTATATCATCCATGGCATCGTCCATATTAACTATTAATGAAAAGAACAAAAAAAAAATATTAATAAGAAGAACAATTATACTTACAAGAAGGTGATATAGCAACAAAATATCATATATCAGTATTTTTAGGAGTAATTATCAGGAAGATCTTTATTCTTAACATGATCTTAATACCACGAACAATCATCTGCAGACAGAAAAATTAAAATTCAGAAGTTGGTAGAAGTGGCTGCTCCTGACCACAGGGTTTCAGGATTCCCAAATCCATGAGGATGCTAGGAGAAGTCGACCTTGCACCAGAAACCTCATATGTTAAGATTAGCAAGATGAAGCTACTATCTACACGAATTAGTGTGAAATGAGATGGTAAACATATTCATCTTTGGTTACAACATAAACCACAAGCTAATTACTACATAATTCTGTATCCATGTTAGAATACACAAGAAAAATGTATTTTAAGATTATAGAAACCCAGCCTAGCTAGAACTCAATGAAATATGAACACGCTTCCAAATGACTTTTGTAGCTGCATCGGATACATGACGAACACAAACACAGCTCTGACACGCCCCAACACATGACGAACACAGACACAGCTCTGACACGCCCCAACACAGTCTAACACTTCAAAATTTGTTTTTTTGTTTTTTTTGTTGTGTAAAATTGGACTCTGGCACTTATCAAATACGACAGGACATAGTCATGACTTAAAAAGCAGAGCTTAAAACTGACTGTGTGAATTAATAATCATATTACACTAATTTCTGGTGCAGTCAAGGTCTAAGCCCTTCAAAGTCATGCTGAATTTTTTGGCATTGTATAAATAAATTTATGATGATATCCCATATAAACTAGCTAAGGTAGCTTCTATATAATTTATTTTATACTTGTATAAATTTATATTTTAGTATTTGCTTCATTGTTCACTTACCTTAAAAATCTAATAAAAAATGATTAGATATTGCCTCAAATGATTGATTTTCTCCATTAAAGTCATGTGCTAATTGAAAAGGATTAATGTAGCTTGTGTGAAAAAATATATTTTTTTTTATTATTAATCATGTTTTTTTTTTATCATCATAAGGTGTCTGTTATGATACCATAATTCATCATGTGAAGCCTTTAATAGAAAAAGTAAAAATTATATATTTTATAAAATCATGTTCATAGCGTGTCATGTCCTATCTTTTGCAGTAATGCTATATCACCGTATCCAATTCATATCATATTTGTATACGTGCTTCATAACTAGAACCTAATTACCGCATATGGATATCAAAATCATAAATCATAAACATGGAAATTGAAGAAAAATGCCTTCTATTTTTTATTTTTTATTTTTTTGATGAATTAAAAGGCTTCATGTGATGCCTCATAATGAAAATCGAGAAAGCCTTACCATTAAGTTTCACACTCATACCAAGCAGTAATAGCAAATAAAAAGTTGAACAAAGTAAATATAAAACCACTTGGATAAAAGAAACTTGTATAATTTTGACACACCACAACTATGTTGATAATACATAACTTGGAAAAGTGAATGTCTAAGTGCAAAAAAAATTTAGTGGAAAATGCAAATCAAAGTTGTATTCTTTCTTGACGAAAAAGATAATAATAGAACCACCAGTAATGCAGGACGCTTTAGGATAGACGTTTTACTAATGCAAATACAGGATGAAATGCACAAGTAAAACACTCAAAACACCACAATTCACACTTTCTCAAATTCTGATATAATCAAAGATTAATATTTTTGCAAGGAAAAAAATGCACTTTATTCGTTCTAATCAATAGTGTAAAAGTCATCAAAACCTAATATTCCACAGGTCTGAAAATAAATATAAAATTCTAAAATATTAAAAAAAAAAATTCTACAGTGACTAAGACTCATTCCAAAAGAAGAAAAACTAGCATGCACCAAACTTAGTAAGATCTCAATCACATATCTTTTACAAGCCTTAAGGCTCATTTTTAAAACATAAAAAGATCCCAAATAAATAACTTCTCAAATCATCCCAAGACCTAGACTAATATGCAAGTTTCAATGCAATGCATATGGATTCCAGCAAGCACAGCAGTCCTATTTTAGTTTCAGTAAAACAGTAAGTTTTAGCTTCTAAAATCTCATTTCCAGCTTCCAGCAATTCAACATCCATGTGATAGGAAGTGCTTACAGAAATTTAGAAAAAACCTTGGCTGAAATCTGATTTCAGCAATTTCAGAAAACCCACGACAAGAAAACTAGGAATAGAACACCCAAGAACACTTTTTTTATTGAAAGTTTTATGAAAGAAAGACAAGACACAAGTGGAACTTTAATTGAAGGGGAAGATTTGGCTCTCCCAAATCTCTAGCCGCCAGCTAGAGCCCAAACACCCTAAGAACAATCTAAATTCAGCAAACAACACATAACATTAACCCTATGAAAATCACCTAATTAAAGCAAACAATAAACAGCAAATACCCAAAAAGCCCTCCCCCGATTCCCTCCCAAAGTTGCCCTATTTCCTTAATTATTTTCCTCCCAAAATCAGCCCTTTTCAATTAGGAAATATTTCCTAATTAATCGCCTCCAAATCAGCCCCAAAATCTACCCTCTTCAATTAGCAAATATTTCCAAATTAATCCCCACCAAATCAGCCCCCAAATCTACCCTCTTCAATTAGGAAATATTTTCAAATTAATCCCCCCAAATCAGCCTCCCTCTCCTGTGGCTCCCGCTCCCTCCAAATTAGCCTCCCTCTCCTATGGCTCCCGCTCCCTCCATATCAATATTCACCCCACACCCACCCCCCCCCCCCCCAAACAAAAAAAGCATATTGTCGTCAAGATAGAAAGATGAAAAATGACTGAGGAACCCTTTGTCTCTGATTGGGGAGGGGGGGGGGGTACCTGGCCAACCTTGAATCTCGAACCTCCTCTAGGCTCTATAGTCTATAGCTCCACCAAGTAGCACAACCCTGCTCCTTGTGTCGCCTTGAACATGGTTTTGAGTGGAACCATTGTTTTGGACAGGCTAGGATCCCCTCTAGTAACTACTTTCCTCCCTTCAACCTTGAACTCCATCGATAGCATCCACCAATCAATCTTGGTCTTTCCAAACTTCTACATGCATTTCATTATTAGGAAGACACCAATGCTCCCTAACTCCAATAGGAGAAAGTCCTCCCTCACCTGGACTCCCTGTATAATCAGAACCACCCCCTACACACTCCTTTACATGTCTCCATCTTCTCAGTGCCCATCATCACCCCATAGCACCCTGTGTCCACCAGTTTCATCCCAAATTGGTCCACGACCTGGTTGGAGATGAAGCGTGGGTAACCCCACTATCTATTAATACCACTACCTCCATGTCTGCTATTTCTCCTCACTTTCATGGTGTGAATCAGAGTGAATCCCACCACTGCGTTCAAAGAGACCTTTGTCATGTCTAAATGCAGCTTTTCCCCCTCCACTGATGCCTCACTCCTAGCTCCCTTCTCAGCTTCCACGTCATCACAGACGATGAGAACTGAAGAGTTTGGTCTTTATACTTGTACCCCGGTATATACTTGTCATCACATATGAAGCATAACTCTTTTGCCCGCCTATCATGCACTTCCGTTTTTGTAAGGCGCTTAAAGTTGTCTCCAGGGTAAACTCTGGTGTCCTCCTTTGGTGCTTCCCTCTGAAAAGACATCGAATGGTTTCTCATTGCTCGATTTGTAGAGGTGCTCCTGTAAGCCCCTCCCATAATGTTGCACCGGCTGGCCTTCTCCCTCCGATATTTTTCCTCCACCCTCTGAGCTAGCTACGTTATCATTCTCAGCCCTCTAGGTCAGCACCTTGAGCTCTGCTGGTATGTCCTCCCTAAACCTCTTCATGAAATTCCTTTCAAACCCTTCTTCGAAACTTCCCTTGTCTTCCCGACAGCAGCTCAAACTTCTCCCAATACTCAATGATTGTCCCCTCCTGAGTTAAGGCATAGAAATATTCATAGTCTCCTTCCTGAATGACTTAGAAATGATCTAACAACCTCTCCTTAAATTCCCCTCATGAATAGATCAAATATCAAGCCTCCCTCCATTGACACCAAGCTAGGGCTTTTCACTCCAAACATAGCACTGCCACCATGAGTTTTTTCCCTTCCATCAGGCTGTTGATTGCAAAGTAATGCTCCACTCGATACACCCAACCCTGAGCATCTTCCCCTTCTAACAATGGCATCTTCAACTTTCTCGATCTTGCATCCATAACTCCATGGCTTCTCCCTCCGTTAGTTCCTCCTATGTAATGATGGTGCGAACCTCTCCCTTCCTCCCATGGCTGATTTGAACCCCATGGCTTCGTCCAACCATGACCTCCTCCATGCCACCTCTCCCCATACCCAGATAGTTTCCCAAAGGGTTCGACCTTCCTCCTCCTTGCTATCCTTCCTTCAGAATACCTCGATCCACCCATCAACGGAGCCCTATGTGGTGGTCCTTGATGGAAAACACTCTCCACTTCATCATAGTCCTCCCGAATCACCTTCCCCTTTGGTTCAGCCCTCAGAACCGTCGATGAGTCTTTTGACTATATTTTGATCAACTCCTTCATCATGTCTTCCATATTTTTTAAGTGGCTCTCTATGGATGATATCCTCTCTTCCATATCGGAATATCTTTCCCCCAGTCGAGCCTTGAGATTTTCCATCTCGCCTTCCAACACCGCCATCTTCTTTGCTTCCATTCACAGATTTAGGTTCCAAACGGTGAAAAACAACAAAATTTGGCAAATCTAGCCTTAAATCGGCGAAAATCAGAAAGGTGGGAAGAAAAATGGGGACTTAAATTTCAGCCCAGGACACCGCTCTGATACCATTTGATAGGAAGTGCTTGCAGAAATTTAGGAAAAGCCTTGGCTAAAATCAAATTTCAGCAATTTCTGAAAATCCACAACAAGAAAATCAGGAATAGAACACACAAGAACACTCTTTTTATTGAAAGTTTTATGAAAGAGAGACAAGATACAAGTGGATCTTCAATTGAAGAGGAAGATCCTGCTCTCTCGAATCTCTAGCCACCGGCTAGAGCCCAAGCACCATAAGAACAATCTAAATCCAACAAACAACACATACCCATAATACTAGGAAAATCACCTAATTAAAGCAAACAATAAACATCAAATACCCACACAGCCCTCCCCCAATTCCCTCACAAATTTTCCCTATTTCTTCATTATTTCCCTCCCAAATCAGCCCCCAAATATTCCCTCTTCAATTAAGAAACATTTCTTGTTTAATTACCTCCAAATCAACCCCAAATCTGCCCTCTTCAATTAGTAACCATTTCATAATTAATCCCCTCTAAATCAGCACCCAAATCAGCCCTCTTCAATTAGGAAATATTTCATAATTTAACACCTCCAAATCAACCCCTCTCCTACGTCTCACCGTTCCCACTCCTGCTCCTGCCATATCACCATGCTAAAGTGTAGCATGCGAGAATAGAAGGAAACCAATCAATTGAATACCAGCTGCAGCGCAAAAAACGAATAGAAAAGGAAACAAGCCAACCATAGCTTTAAAACTCAAGCATGTAGTTCAGCAATTGATGTAGGCAAAAGGGGGTCAACTCAGGCCCAAATTAAATCAATTTTGGCCTCTCCCGAGTCTTCAAGCTCAAAGAATTTTGAGCTGGAATTTAGCTCATTTATGAGCTGATTTTTAGTTCATTTATTGGACTAGAGGTTAGCTCATTATTAGCTAAATTTTAACTCATATTTATCTTCTATTTAATGCACTTTTATTATATCATCCCCTCCGGAAATCCTGCGGACTCTTTCCACCCTTCTTTCTCATCCCCTCCGGAAATCCTGCGGGCTCTTTCCACCCTTCTTCTTGGCTTCTAACCTCTTTCGTCTCTCCGCAAGTGCCACTCCATCTGTATCCTTCTTCTCTAAGTGAAGCAACTTTAGGGTGTCGTCAAGTGATTGAGTCAAGTTTGTAAGTCGGTTTAATTTTGCAAGAGTCATTGTTGCAAGACTTTTGATATATTTTATTTGAAATGTAAGAGTTTGTTCTTCCTTTTCTCGTCTTACTCGTTCTCGTCGTTTAGGAAGTCCAGTCTGCTGCTTGTGGGCGAAGGGTATAGGCACCCCTATATTTTTTGCCCGCATCAGAAATTAATGCAGATCAAAGAACCTGAAGCCCCATAATATTGCAAAAAGGGGAATAGAAGGAAAACTGAGATCTCCAGCACGTCAAACTAACAGCAAAGCTACTATAGCCGTAAAGTATACTGAAGCAGAGGAAAAGAAAACATTCAACAAGAGAATCGGACAGACAAAATCAAAATGCTTGCAGCAATTAATCAAACCTAATAGAAAAATCAAAACAAACACATCTCGTTCTCAATAATTTCATCATCATAATGTTTTATAAGAAAATAAACATTAAAAAAACGAAAAATAAGAAATAGGGATAGCTAAAAATATATCAAGACACAATTTGTGTTTCCAAATAATAAATTGTTTCGGATTTGCATCAAAAGATTCCATGAAATTAAACTTGAACATTATATTATACAGAAAGATAGATGGATTATAGAAACGCAAAAGACAAAGGGAAGCTGCGGGACATACCAGCCAATGTTTTCATGACTGAAGTAGATTTTCCGAAGGAATAATTCTTCAAAAAAAAAAAATGATAAACATTAGCTTCTACAATAACAAATGCGTAAACTCAACAACATACAATATTAGGGAGTCCAAAAGAAAATATAACAACCTTTGATGAAGCACTTAAAAAGTCCCACACTTCGTGTTGTTCTGCAATATTAGCTATAGCCAAAAGATCCTAAAATTTAAAAAGAAAATAGTGAAAAATCAAAATGGTTAAGCCTTTTCAGAAAAAAATGGTAGAATCCTACTTGCAAATATTTGTCAAGAAGAATGCATCGTTGATGAACAAAGTAATCATCAATGCTGGATGACAAAAATCTCTTTGGTGGCAAAGATAAGGAATAGTTACGTATTTCCTTAAGATGTCGATGCAATCTTTCAAAATTTCGGTATCTGCAACCAAAGCCGTACATTGTTAACTAGGAAAAAAAATGAAATTTAAAGCATGAATTTAAAAATCTATTCCAGTAAGGGTACAACACAGATAAGTAATATATCACCTTTTTTTTTTTTAAGTAATATATCACCTTCTCAATGCTCCAGTACAAGTAAAAACAAGAGTTACAGCATAGCATTGGCCAGAGCACTCGCATGTCAGAAGTAAACAAACACAAACACTGAAGAATTGGCATATATCAAATTGAGACTCATCCAGGTTTAAAATTGCACAATTGATATTCAGGCGTTTACCGTCCGTGAGGCGAGATGTGAGCCTCAAGTCATTTTGACGCATAAGCCTCAAAATCAAAAAATTGTGTATGGTGAAAATGAAGGTTGCAAGTGATTTTTTTTATACTAACTAAATAATACGTTAAATGATGCCATTACCTTTTTATTGAATTATGATGTAACATATTGAAATACATATGAACAAAAATTGCACACGACACTAAGTGATAAATTGTATTAAATAGAATTAAAATCCAAATATCACAATAACTAAACAAAATAAAATATAGAAATTGCACAAAAGTATTATATAACATCAAGCCATCAAGTTCAACTTGAAATTCCTCCTTTCTCAGTTCTCTACTCATCCACATTTTATTCTTAAAGAAACACTAATAGTATGACAACAACTCAGAAGTCATCTTTGTTGTAATCACTGAGGGAGTTTTCATGTGAGTAATCATCATAATGAATTGCTCTCTCCCCTGCCTCATCACCTGTGAAGTCCAATGCTTCACAATTTGCTTTTTCATCTATTTCAATCTTCTTCCTCTTCCCTAAACGTTTATCCCATGTTTAAAATTGTGCAATACAAGACAAACCTCAATGTAATTCTCACCAAAAAAACATCGAGGCACATGCCTTGAGCTAAACTTATGAGGCGTATGCCTCAATTTTGCTAAGGTATGCCTCACCTCACAAATTCTCTTTTTTTTTTTTAAACGTAACTTAATCGATCACATTTTAAGCCCCGGCTGCTTCGGCTTCGAGTGACTGAAAGAGTCGCTAAATGAAGCTTCTTCACCTCCTTCAACATGTTGTTGCTATCAGATCGAAAGCTGCACTTGGTGCTAGCCACCAAGGTAACGATAGTTCTCTTTAGCCCGCCTCCTTCGACGTGTTGTTTCTATTGGATCGGAAGTCGTGCCTAGTGCTAGCCGCCAAGATAACGATAGTTCTACTCTTTAGTTCTCTTCTCCTCCATTTTAGATTTACGAAATTCATGATTTAGGACAAGAATGTCAAAAACACCGTGAAGTGGAGCTTAGACTTTTTGTGAGATTTGCGGCCTTCATCTATTTTCATAGGTTAAACTGCTTCTCTTGCATCCGAAGTTCTTTGACGCCACTGAGTTGTGAGGTGTGATGCCATTCCTTCTCCTTCTTTAGCTTAAAAGTTAAAGAAAATTGGTAGATTTGAATTTAAACCCTTTTGGAGAGTGATCAAAGAGTTACAACTATAATATGATAACATAATTGATAAATATTGACTCCATATATTTTCATATTAATTATGAATTGTACTTTGTTTACAAATGATGATTCTAGCCAATGTGATATTGTTAAAATAAGTAAAAAGTTCAAATAACAGAGAGATAGAGAGTTTATAATTAGTAGAATTAAGTTTAGACATATAATATGTAATTTAAATAGTTGTGATACAAACAAACATTAGCTGAGATTCTTAGTCATTTAACTTTGTGATTTTTGGTGTTTAACAAGATTTAGCCTTTTCTACATTTCTTCGTTAATGTTGAGTTCGCCTACTTCTCCATATCTACTTCTGTATATTCTTCATTATGTTCTGTAAACCGAACTTTAATTTTAAATGTTAAAATTTAAAATCATGTTTATTAACTTGAATTTTTTATTCTCAATTTGTTGTTTTACGAGTCTATTGAGGATGGTTAGAGGAAAAGATAAAACGTCAGGTCATAGGAAGGACTTGACATGAAAATATAGCAATCAAGTTGATGTGGGAGGTGACAACAAGATGCATGTGTATTTGAAATGTAATTACTATAAGAAGATGATGAAGGGTGGTGTCACTAGGATGAAAGAGAACATATCCAGATCCCATAAGAATGTGGCACCATATGTCAAAGTGCCTAATACAGTAAAGGAGGAGATCATAGCATACATACATGAATAAAGCAATAACGTCAAAGCACTTGGCATAGAAATAGTTTAAGAAAAGAGTTGATGTTGGCTCATACTATAGAAGCGATCGTGGTCGGGACTCATCATCCTCATTGGAACTCATGTCTAATAGGGGTGCAAGGTTCCCATGGATCAGTACATGTCAAATGCGTTAGAGGATAGACACAAAGATAGGCCTTCAGTATCATAGAAGCTAACCCTAGAGATTGTTGAGGCATGGAATATGGGTATGCATGGATATAGGGAGATTTTTTTATGAGAATGCTATCCCTTTCAATGTTGAAACCTACCTTGCTTACTACAAAATGTTCTGTTCAATTGGAACTTATGTGCGAAGATTGAAACCTCCATTCATGTCTGATTTGAGGAAATGAGTTTTGAAGGAGTTGACCAACACTCATAAAGAAATTGAGAAAATCAAGAGGGCCTAGAGCTAGACAGGGGTGATTATCATGTTTAAAGGATAGTCAAACGTAAAGAATAGAAGTCTATTCAGACATCTGATAAAGTAAAAGATGCAGAGTTTCTTTTTAGAGTGCTAGATGGTGTCATTGAAGAGATCGGAGAGCACTTCATGGTTCAAGTGATGACAAATAATGCTAACATTTATAGGGCTACAGGTGCAAAACTCATGAAGAAGAGGAAGCACTTATATTAAACTGTGTTGCACATTGCATAGACTTAATTCTTGGACATTGATTTATTTGATGGTTATAGAAACAAAGCATCTGCATCCATCACTAGCTAGGTACAAAAGAACTAAAGAGAAATGGTGTATAACAACTAAAACAAATTTATTTTTTTAAGCTTCTTTAATTTGAAGTATTGCTCTCATCTTTATGTTAATGACAAACGTTTAAGAAAGAGAAAGATTGAATAAGATGAAGAAATAGATTGGGAGAAATTGGACTCAACAGAAGATGAGACAGAAGAGAGATCAATTCATTATGATGATGATTCAAATGAAGTCCCCTTCAATGATGACAGATCAGATGACTTTCGAGTTATTTTTATATCATTACTATTTTTTTATGAATTAAACATGGATGAATAGGGAATTGGAGAAAATTTTTTTTGAGCTGAACTACATTTTATATAGTTATGCAATTACTACATTTTATGTTGTTCTCTTATTTTTATGTTTGGATTTCAATTTAATTTTACATAATTTATTACTTGTCACTTTGCGTCATGTCCAATTTCTTGTTTAATATATATATATATATTAATTTATTTCTTATGTCATCCTTAAATATATTGTTACAACAACAACAAACCTTTATCCCACTATATGAGATCGGCTACATGAATCTTTTTTTCTCCGTTATGTTCTATTAAGAGTCAAATTCTCATCTAAGTCTAAAAACGAAAGGTCATTTCTAATACTTTCTAACCAAGTCTTTTTAGGTATACCTCTACCTTTCTTAACATAAGTTAAATCCAATACATCTACTTTCCTAACCGGGTCATCAGCCGCCGTTTTATGTGACCAAATCATCTAGGGTGACTCTCTCTCTAATCTTCTCTTCCACTGTAGCTACTCCAACCTTTTCACGTATATGCTCATTTTGTATCCTATCTTTAAGAATAAAGCCCCTCATCCACCTGAGCATCCTCATCTTCATTGAAAAGTTTAGTAAAATATCTCATCCACCTTTATTGAAATATCCTCTAATGTAAAAACCAGCAAAAGCCATTTCAGACTTCGCACGCTTTTCAAAGCGCCGCGACGTACTTTAAGTGAAAAATTCGAAGTTGTTAGATTTCGACGCAAATAATTTTATAAAATGGAGCGTAAAATTCTGATCAATTTGGTATATAAAACTTATATTTAATTCCGTTTTAATTGAGAGTTATGATTTTTAGAAGCTCATAAATACCCAAACTACCCCTAAGCTTTCTATGAGGTACCTTAAGGCTTACACCACGCCTCACATATGAAAAATGCCTCAATATCTAATTGTGTAATTTTAAACATTATATTTATCATGAACATAAAGATGAAAGTATTACTCCAAATTAAAGGAGCTTTAAAAAAATAAATTAGTTTTGCATATCTTTTCTCTTTAATTGTTTCTATAGTTGTGTTGTGGTAGATGCAGATCCTCAACTTTAAATCTCTTTGTAATTCAGATGATGTTACTTCCACTTTATCATTTACAAATCACTCCCTCACAAATCAAAAGTCTTCTTTGTCCTTTAATCCTATGTTCTTCAAGTTTCTCTTTTTCTTATACACAACACAAAGGAATTTATCCTTAGTGTTTTCAAAATATTTCTCCTCTTCATGTACACTTGTTTGTTCGTGCTCTAATAGCATGTTTATCCCAAAACCTTAATAAAAAAATATTGTAGTTCTAAAATGTCGTCACCAAATTGTATATATGTTGACCCCTACAACCCAAATCACGCACAAATTGGGCTAAACTAGCGAAATAAGCAGCACGTCACTTGAAGAGCCAAATGACCTCCAATTTCTAAACGGACTGCGATGTTGCAATCAGAATGTCAAATTCGCCTTAGTCGAAACCCCTCATGGTCAAATCAAACGAGATTGGTCCAAAGGGACGACTGACACCTGAAATTTAGCACTCGACGTCGCTCAAATTACGTCTAATCGCAAACGAACTTCGTCATTGCGTCCGGAACGTCATTAACATCCAAAATATAAGTTTATTTGATCAATTGGGATCGGCCGAGGTGGTGGCACGAATCTAAATGCGAAGACACGTAAATTGAGAAATTTAGCACTCAACGTCGACCAAATGACGTTTAATCGCATAA